TTTCATTTTGTTTATATTTTCCTAATGCAAATTGTGACTTTTACCCTGGGAACATGACAAAGTCTTTCTTCACAAATGCAAAGAAGACAGGAAACTCATGGTTCCCACAAAGCAGCTTTGACTCTTGCTGGATGTGATAATTTCGTTAGCAGGAACCCAGACATCAGAGCATGGATCAGTGAGCCAGACTAATAAGCCACAAGGGCTCCTGTCCACCCATGGAAAGTGGCTTATATGAGCAGGGTCCAGTCTGCTCTTTGTCGCCTGAGTCCAAGCTGCGTAGCTTTTCCTTGCTTAGTGCAAGTTTCACAGAAGCAGATATGAGATCTCAGCCTTCGCCTTTGTTCTACCACTGGGAGCTCCAAAATAGGATGCCTGATTATTTGTCTCCAGCAGACCCCAGGAGATGCATCAGCTTGTGCAACCAAGTGCTTAGCCCCTCTCATCCCTGCTGTGCCTGCAGAGCCGTGCAGACACCTCTGCGCTGGCCCACGGCCAGCTGGGACACTAGCAGCAAGCTTGCCAGCAGCATCAGCCTCTGCAGAGCAAACCACCCAAGTACTTACTCAGCTTCTTGGGTGGGTTTTGCATCTGTCAGAGTTTCATGCTCTCCCAGGCACACTCCTCCTGTGCCCTGAGTGACCTGGTTTCAAGCACACCAAGGTTTATCTGCTCCATGTAGCAATGATGGTAGCCATCACAATTCAACAAAGCCTTCAGCCATTCCAAAGAGCACATTTTCTTGTGATGATGCCACAGCCCATATGCTGGTATCCCTAAGTGCTGGATGACCCATTTGAATAAAGCCTGTGGTTGTACAATTATGTACCCTCACCATATTAACTCACAGCTCCTAATCTATCAGTATTACTATGTCAGACGATGCTACAAAACAATGAGTTGAAGCTGTGCTGTGCTGACCACCTGGTACCAGAGGAAAGCACATTTAGATAAGATATGTTGTAGTGAATGTATTGCTGAGATTTATGGTTAGCATGTGAGGAGCTGAGGTCTTTTATATCAGGGAAAGAAAAACTGATCCAGGGCAAAGTAGTCAGGGCTGGACATTGCTGTGATATGGGGCCTGCCCAATGGCTCATCGTTTCTTCTGGCACATGACACTGTTTTCATAAAAATGGCCAGAATTACCTTCTTCATGGCCACCTACCCACCACCTCTGCTTTTATGTGTTCACAGGTGACAACTTTACAAAGTGGGTCAAAGAAAATTGGGAGGCTGGAAATTTTCTTTAGGAACAAATTGCCCTCAGTCTATACAGAATGTGCCAAAATGTAAGTAAAATTTCAATTACAAGTCAATGGGCCCATCATTGTCTGCACCAGGGTTTGTCAGTCAGAGGACCTCAGCTCTTAGTGCTTGCCTTTGCTTCATGCCTTAGTTTCACTACAGGTGGACATATGTAAATTGCTCCAGCAACATGTAAAACTGCGGAGGGTTTTTTTAAAAGCCTGATCATTAGACAAAGGAAATAGAAAGGTTGGTGGAATGGGACCTAATTAATTAGGTCTATCATACATGGAAGAATTAAAATGAAAATGTGAGTTGCTGAAATGAACAATAAAGTGAACCTTTGTTCAGGATTAGAAATAGGCAGTTGGGACCTAATTATACAATGCAATTTCTGAGTAAGCAGATCCTGCAGGAATAAATGCTGTGGGGAAAAAAAAATCTGCTGCATAGAAAGTAATATATGAGTTAGAACACAAAGGATTTGAACTCCTAACAAAAAGGTATTTAGAGACTAATACTGATGTTGGCTGTCATTCAAAGCCTACCCATTGAAAAGAAAATAATAACAGATTAATAACGTGAGACATTATTGAGCAGATTATGCCAGCAGGACTGGGAACAAGGAAACACCACAGGTCTCCTCTCCTGCAGGAGGGTTCTGGTGCCCATTACAGGCTGCCGGAGGGCAGATTCCCCATGAAGCTAGGGGTCTGCAGCCTCCTCCTTCCCCCATCTCTGCTGGGAGCTGTGGAGAGAGGGTGCCAGGCTGCATGAAGGAGGAGCAGCTGGTACCTCCAGTGCAGCCACAGTACCTGGCTTCAGGAGCTTAGGCTGAAGGTGCCCAGACTGGGCTGTGCTCCCCAGCACTCAGCCTGGGTCCAGTACAATGCACAGAAGCTCCTACCCGACTGGGGCTTCCTCCTTCTGCCTCTGGAAACCGAAGCCTGGAGATGGGAGAGACAGACAGAGACTGGCAGTTTGAGAAGCATTGAACCTCAAACATGCTTTCTGCATGGGGAAAACATGTAGAGGGCATCCTGGATGCCTTTTATGAGTTTAAATCTAGTCTGGTTGTATTTTCATGCCTGCAGAAGAAGAAAGAAAGAAGGGTATCTTTTGTCAGTTCATTCCCAGGCTCTTAAGTCACGGGGTTAGGGCTGTGGTACTAGGCAGCCGACATTTCTGCAGCAGCAAAGATGAAAGTCAGACAAAATAATCCAAAGAAGTGCTTAACTGTGACTATTAAGTCCCAAAGGATTTATCAGAGTTTACTTTCCTCTGACTTCTAGGAGAGACTTCAACTGAAGTCCATTAAGCAAATTAAAAAGCAGAAGGAAAATAAACACAGATTAATGGAGATAGGAATTTTATGAAGGAAAGGAAACAGCCAGACCTTGTGACAAAGCTCCTGGGCTGCTATTCAGGTTTTAAGGCCCCCAGACCTTATAAATGGACGAGATTATTCTCTTCACATTGCCCTGCTGGTAGTAGTAAAAGAGAGTTAATAAAATTTTTTTTCCCCTACTGAGAAGTCCTGTAGAAACTCGAGTAATAATATAATCCATAATGTTTCAGCTCAGTGCGTGACATGCAGCTATTTGTTCCTTTGTTTCCAGGGAGGGAATCGAGCTGTAAATCTTGTAGTGACACAGATACTGTACTGGCTCTGTGGCATTTTAGAAACCCATCTGAGCAGCTTCCCACACAATTAGGGACTTGAACGTCCGAACAACCAGGCAGGATTTCTGTATTTATTACTTTGGCATCACAATTAATATTTAATGCAGAGGAGATATCACAGACATGTTTGAAGCCTCATTTATCTTGTTAAAAAATACTTTGAAACCAAGAAGATGAGCAAATTATGCCATTATGGAGCCCTGTTATTTATTATCTTTAGATAGTTTAAATTAAAGCAAATGCTCCCATAAGGGGGAGATTCCTTCTGCTGCTTCTCTTCTAATTGATTTTCTAATTTCCATTGGGTTTATTAGTGTTCATGGCCAAAAACAAAGAGATACCAGAACGGTAAGACAAGAGTGAACAAACACCTCCACTTGCTGTGTGGCCAGGCCCTGGTTTATCTGTGCAGTGGTACCAGCCCTGAGGCAAAAGTGGCTTTTGTTGACTCAATTGGAGACGCCAACATGCCAGGAGCAAGGACCGACCACTCTGGGATGTACAGAAAAAACCTCTTTGGGTCCCTGCCATACACCTGAGGAAAGCAGTCATGTTCATATTTCTTTTTACTGCCTTGACTGGAAGACCTTCTTGCTCATTGTTCTTACAGCATCTGACCCAGTACAAGTGTGTTACTCGTTACTTGCCTCTGCGTATCGGTTGATCTGTGTGATAATTCTTGGTTTGCCACTTATTCATGGGCAACTCCCTATTGTTAAAACATGAAATTAAAAGTATTTTGGACACAAATCTACGTGAATTTTGTTCATGGGATCCCACCTCTGCCAGCTGGAGGCATTGGAAACAGTTCTGTTATTATTCTGGGTACAAAGGTAATATTTCTCTGTCTATGCAAATATCCTGCAACATGATCTTAAGATACAAAGTATACTGCTGCCTCACGTACAGGATTAATTTTCATGTGAAACAGAAAATGAACCCCAAAGGGCTGTCCCTGAAAAGCATAGCCACATCTACACTGCTCCCTGGCTGTGCTGGATCCTTGGTCTTGTGGTGTGGGGAAGAGATTCATCCCCGGGTGATGGAGTTGGGGGTTCTGGAAGGGCTAACAGTTGCCAGGGGACAACCCTCAGGGATCCCCACCTTAGGCCTGGCACTGAGCCCTGTTGCTGGGGGTACGGATTTCTCTAGGCATACATGTTCTTTTTTTATTAAGCAGCTTCTACTGCTCTTGCCCGCAGAGGATGATGACCAGAGGCAGCACCGAGGTCCCCCTTGCCTCTGCCCCTCGCTGCAAACTGCTCTGCAGGGCTGCAGATGGCTCTGGTTGCACGGACCGGACCCCTGGGCACATCCTGCCAGGGCTGTGGGACTGCACCGCACTGCGTGGGCAGAGAGCAAACCGCCTGGCAGGCTCAGCCAAAGAGGGTGCCCAGGGAGGAGGGAAGGAAGAAAGGAGGGATGAGGGAGAAATAACCCCAAGGAAAGGATTTTAGTTCTGTTTGTTAAAGTGCAGATCTGAAGTCTTTCCTCAGAAAAATTCACTGAACTTGCAGGATGTGACTCACTGTGCATGCTGCTGATTGTGTAAAAGGCTGATGTGCAAACCGGGGCTAAGCATTAGTAAGGCTGGGTATGGCTTCCCAACAGCAACGAGGTCACTGCACATCACAGCTTCTCCTCGGAGGCTGACCAGCACCAGGGTAAGAGGCCAAGATGTCTGAGCAGCTAAAGCATGTAAACCTTCCTTTAGTGGGTCCCATTTGTCAGCTTCCAGTTCCCATGGGACACCTGACCTTTCACCACTAATATAAGAACACTCCAAAATGGCAGTGCTTAAAGCTCTGTGTTTTCCACGCCTGCACCAGTAAAACCTGTTTGTGGCCCCGGCTGTCCAGCACAGCGGCTGTGTACGTGCGTGCCTGCACGAATGGGTGTGCCCACCCCACGGCAGGTGGGAGCAGCCCGGGGTCACCAGAGTCAGCCGTGCCACTGCCTGCAGAGGAACTGGCCTTGGGTGTCTGACTGCGCTTCACTACCTGCTTACACCTTGTTTTTACCTTTTGCCCTGGGGATCCCAGTACGCAAGGACCAGCAGCCCTGCAGCAATGGGGTCTCCCCTGATGCTGCTGCTGCTGCTGATCATGGTCACCAGAGCCAAGGTGTACAGCTGGTGCGAGCTGGCTCACGTGCTCCAGGAAGAGGGGCTGGATGGCTACGGGGCTACAGCGTCGCCAACTGTGAGTTTCAGTCCCCTGTCTGCCCACAGCCTTTCCTTCCTGGCTGTGGCCATCCCCACAGATGGCAGCTGTAGCACAGCCTGTCTTCTGCCTCTGCCCAGGGCTCTGCATGGCCTTTTACAAGAACACCTTCAACACAGCAGCTTAGAGCATCAAAGTGGATGGCAGCACCAACTACGGCATCTTCCAGATCAGCAGCTAGCTGTGGTGCACTGACCGCAGCCCCTCGGATAACTGCCGGAGGATGGCTTGCAGAGGTAGCTCCTCCAGAGCTTGCAGCACTGCTCCTCCAGAGCCAGCCCCAGGAGCGGAGGCAGCAGCCCGAGCCCTCCTGCTCTGCCCAGCTTCAACCCCTGGCCAAAATAGAGCCATCGGTCATGCAGGGCCCAACCTAGGCAACTTGATGCCTGTGGCCACAGGAAGCTGGAGGTGATGAAGAGCTGGGTCCAGCTCCTCTTTTGGTCTGTGTAGTGTGTGAGTAGCCCTTCTGACTCCTGAGGCTGGAAAGTGAGAGGCTATGGCCATTGCCAGAGGTGTTTCTCCCAGGCACCATAGCATCACTGCCCCCAAGCCTTCTCCAGGGTTCCACCTTGGACCTCTGGTCAGCTCCCTTCCTTTGCCCTGTATCCATCCTTTCCTCTCCTGGGACACTAGAGACCCCAGGGCTCTCTGGGAGTTGTGACTGTGGGTGGAAGACAGGCAGTCTTGCTTTGGGTGGGTTGTGATGTGGAGCTGGATGAGACAGATGCATCCCTCCAGCTGTGGAGTGAGTAGCTGGGAAAGTGATCACCCAAGGCTGTATTACTGCCAGGCAGATCCAGGTCTTGACTTGGGATCTGCCACCAGTGGAGAGCTCCCAGGCAGACATGGGAAGGGTTTTGCTGTGTCTGACCAGCAGACATCCTGCTATATGAGAAAACCCAAGGTCTGGGAGGCTGGGGCTGGACCTCCTGTTCCTGTTCAGATCAAAACCTCCTTTTCCAAGTAGGCAGAAAAGCTCCAAAGGCAGGCACACCAGCATTTGCAGATGAAAACATACATTTATAGTTGTTGCTGGCCATGCAGAAGCAGATGAGGGTGCCTGCCTGGCAGCATTCAATCATGTGAGGCTGATGGCAGCCTGGCAGTGAGGGGGATGAGCAGCATCCAGCGCCACAGTGATGCCTGGGGCTGCTCAAGTGCCCAGCCCTCACTGCACCTGGCAGGGAAATCTGCTCTGGGCTGGTGTCCTGCCCTCACGTGAGCTGACAGCACTGTGTTTCTTTCCCCACAGATCTCCTATTGAATAACATAACTGATGACATCATCTGTGCCAAAAGAATTGTGAGAAAGCCCCAGGGAATTAATGTCTGGTAAGGGGCTTTTGGTGATGGTGTCTTTGTCAGGGCCCAGGTGTGTTTCTGAAGGGGCATTGCTGCCCTTTGCCTGACTGTCACACAAAGGCAGCACAGCAGCACCAGAAAGGAGGAACCACAACTTCAAGGGTTTGCAGATGGGTGGGAATGGAGAGATGAACTTGCACCACTTCAGTCTGAAAGTGGTCTCACAGGAGAGACTAGGGAGGAAGGAGCAGAGAAAAATGTTTCAGAAAAAAACCTCAGGTGAAAAAAAAAATGGTCAGTAAACAACCCACCAGCTAGTAGGTTAGCCCTTGAAGATTTCTCTCTGTCTTGTGAAGGACTTCAAAAGTCCTTCAAAGAGCTCCTCTCCCCACTTTTTGCTGTCTTGTCTCTTAGCAGGAAGCACCTAGCGTGGAAACAATTCTTCCCAGAGAATCTGAGAGCATTAATCACTGAAATATCCTGATGAATCTAGATGACAGCCCTTGCTTGGTGCAGCCCTGAACCATCCCTGGGACTCTGGGCTGTTATAATACAGGAAGCCTGTGAAGGCAGAGTAACCAACAGGCTGAAAAAACAGAAGTGGGGGTAGAAGACAATTCCAATGATCATATAAATATGTGGTTGTCTGAAGTCCCAAGGCATTTTGTGCAAAAATAGTGGCATTAACCACTGAATGCTGAATACGTTCCAAGGTGAGGGACAAGATTCTGCCTTCAGATTCCCCCCACCCCCTCCCTGCCATTGCAATCGGACTCATTAACCAGTTTTGCTTCCTGTGGTGGGCTGCTGCGAAGCCTGGCTCACCGCAAAAGCAGCAGCATTTCTGAGTAGAGATAAGTCATTGGCGTGGCGTACACAGCGAACAGTCTCAGGGCCTGTGTGGTGAGTGTTGCTGTCACACAGTCTGCTGTGTGCTCAACACTTTGCTCAGCTGTGATGTCCCAGCAAAGGAGGGACCCTTGCAGTGGCAGGAGGGGACAGGACCTGCCATTGCAATTCATTGTTCTTGGCCAGGACTTAAAGAGAGCTCAGGTGGCATCAAGGGACAGAGATGGCTGCACTCCTCAAAGTGAGAAGCTCACTCAGAGTTGGAGGGCCTGCAAGTCCTTCTCCAGTGCTAGTGATGGGATGTCACTCATTGGGAAGGACCCTACAAAAGACAGAGCCTGCTTGTATTGGATATCAATCATATCAGTCCAGTACCTAAATAGTCTGTCTTCACTTCTTCTGTCCTCAGGGAGGGCTGGGCAATGCACTGTAAGGGACGAGACCTCTCTGAGTGGGTGGAAGGATGTGACCTGTGAGAAAGTCCCTGGCTTAGCTCCGCTGCAGCTGACAGGGGCTGCATTTCCTCTCCACCAAGGGGAGAGCTTCTCCCTCACTGCACAACACTTCTCAGTAGTATTTGCAAACCCTCTGCATTCCGCAAGGTGTAAAATAGCTTTAACAATATAGCATGTTTGGGTTTTTTTAAAAAAAACAAACTCAACTTTCCATTTTCACATGTGATTTAGTGTGCAGCCCCAAAAGATTTTCCCCAGGGGCTTTTTTTGTACATGTTTGAATGGGTCAGGGCGGTGAGGGTCAGGAGCTGGGTTGATAGCAATACCCTTGGAAACAGCAGATTTTTCTGGAGCTTTCAAAGCTGAAAAAGGGAAGACCTCAAAAAAGGATGCAAATCTGCAAGCTTTCCAACACCTCTTATTTATATATTTGTAATAAAAAATGCAGCAAAACACATCTCAGAATTTTACTAGGTACCACTCGTATCCACTCAGCAATGTAAGCTGTGCCTGTGGAAAGTCAAAGTGCCCTTTCACCACTGCCAGGGCAAAGGAGGCAAGCGAGCTCTCCTGCCCACTGTGCAGCTTGTGCCATAACTGGCCGGTCCTGCAGACAGATTTCTGCAGCAGTCTCTAGCAGTGCGTAGAAGCCAGCCCTGTGCCAGTGGTGTTGCTCCACCATGGAAAGGCTGCCGTGCAGTGGAAGGAGTTGTCTGGCATGGGAATGGCTGCAACTTGCAGCTAGGAGGATTTGACCCAGGGACAGAGAGGGTTAAAGAGAAATGCTGCTGGTGGTGGTGGTGGCTATCACCACAGATGACATTAGCTCTGTCTGTTGTTTTCTTTGAACGTTGGGAAAGTACAAAAATAAAAAGGAGTATTTTTTATTATGTTAGGGTGGCTGTTCTTGTGTTTAGAAAGAGAAAAGAGAAAAAAATCAAAGCAACCTCTTTGTTGTCAGTAGGTGGGGTCTGAATCAAAATCTTACCTTCTAACACTGCCGAGCTTTGAAATCCAAGCCTAGATCTAAACATGCAAGCCAGGGGCAAATACATTAAACGTATGATGATTGCCACTTCACCAAAAAAATTTCATTCAAATCAAAATACCAAATCCTAACAGAAAATACACTGTAACCTTTCGAAGATCCTATTCATTCCTGTTCTTAGAAAAATCTGTGTCCATTTCTAAATAGAATTAAGGAATTAAGGCCAAAATTTTCATCTCTTAGTTGCACATTTTCTGTTTTTTCTGGAGATGGTGGGTATCTCAAATACTTGAATGTTAGTGCTGGAGTCCTGGAGCAGATAGGGAAATGCAGGGGAACTGTGTTCACTTCTGGATGTGATCTGCCACAGTTCTGTCAAACTACATCCCATAGAAGTTCTGTTATCTTCCTCAACAAAATATGTAATTGACTCATGGCAGAGCTCTGAGGACACAGGGCAGCTGTCTTGTGTAAGGTGTGATGCATAGCCTGTCTCTTTCATGTAAGGCAAAAATTTAGATGTACAGCTTAGCTTTTACTTGGAAACCGAGTAAGGAATTTGCTTTCAACTGTATCCATCTGAAATCCCAAGAAAGGCAGAAAGTATGTTTTCCTTGTTTTCTTGATGAAAGCAAATTTTCCATTTATTTCTAGGAGGTAGTACTTGGAGGAGAAATTTGGTAATCCTTATGAAAAAACAGTATCCCCCAACCTGCAGCCTCCCTGGTGACATGAGGACTGCAGGTAACTTGGCAAACTGTCATGTCTGAGCACTGCAACTGCTTGAGGACCTTGCCAGCACACAGGGACAACAGGGATCATGAGATCATCTATAGGCACATTTTAGGGGAACAAGAAACCTCCTACTAAGACAGAAATAAATTAAATAAAGGGCCTGATCCTGTTTCTCCATGAATTTAAAGGAAGTTTTACCACTGATTTTAACAGCAAACAGGACTGACCTTGTAGGGTATGTCATCAAACAGCTTCGGATTGCTTGAGAGTATTTCAACACTTCCATTATACGCCCCATCTTTCAAACTTGGACATAAATATTCACTTGGCAGAAATCTCAGCCTACAAGCAAATTAAGAGATTTGTTTTTAACATTTTTTCCACTCACAAAGAAAAAAAAGGAGGGAAAGAACTCCTCTTGGATGTTTTTAAGTTACTGCTGCTACGCAGTAACATTTACTGTCTTTGCACTACCCTACCTTAAAAAACAAATTCACTCATCCTTAAATAAAAAAAAGCAAAATAAATTAATTAATTGATGTAGCAATCACTAACTTTAGCTGCAAGGAAGGTAAGTGATACCTGGGGATCAGCCAGCAGTCAGGAAGCCACTGCTAGAACGAGGATGGTCATTTGGCTGATGTGGGTCTTGTGGGCCATGAGAGATTGCGAGCCGTCAGGTCATGGCTCACAGGACTGAGAGCAGGGCTGTGTGGTGTGTGACCAGAGCTGCCAGGTGATCCACATGTGTGTATGAGGATGGAACAAGGCAGCTGGGGCTGTTGGAGTCAGTGTTGTGTACCACCCCAAAACCCAGCTGTGTGTCCAGCCAGCCATCCCTACAGTGAAGCTGAGGGCTTTGCTGTCATCTTCTGGAAAGCTCTTTGAGACCTAATTATCTGTGTAGCTGCTATAGGGACTTTAAAATGTTGGCATGAGGTTCATGAGGTCAGAGAGGGGAGCTGGTCCTCTGCTCCATGACATCCTCCATGATCTCCAGCCCCACACGCCCAACTCCAGTGAACAAAGCCAGGGGTGCCAGATCCAGCAGCACTGTGAACACAGGAGACATCCCGGAGCATCAACATGTCACTGCCAGAGGTACCACTGCAAATTCAGCTTCTCTGTTTACTTTGCGTCTGGCCAAATGCCACTACTTTCTTCCAACCTGAGTATGTAGCCAGATTTTTGGATCCTGCATATTATATTTATTAGGAGAAGAAACTAATGATGAATTTAGCTATTTCCTAAATGCAATCCCCTTTCTTTACAGAGTTATAGAGAGTGTACCAGGCACAGGACAACTCATGCATTGAAAAAGTGCAAAGTTTGGCCATCTTCACTGAAAAATAATATATTATTTCAGAGATTGGGGAATCTGTTTAACCCTTTCAAATGGTTTAATCTCCAAACCCTCACTCATATTCAGGAGCTGTGCTCCTGTGTCAGTGATGTTAAACAGGGGAACCTGGTTGTGTGCACTCAGCTGTGTGTGGAGCTAAATCAGCATTTTTGCTCACCAGTGCTATCTCCAAGAGATCTCTCTGAGTCTGAGGAGTTCAGCCTGGTGGTCTGATCAAAAAGACCAAGGGATGATGTGATTACAAAGTGTAAGTACCATCATGGGCAGAAATTCTGGACATGACAGAGCTCTTTAATCCAGGGGAGAAAAGTATAACATGAGTTGATGGCTGGGACTTAACTCCAAGCAAATTCAATTGAGAAACAAGTTATAAACTTTTAATCAGTGAAAGGAGATTAACAATCAGAAAAAACAAGCAGAAGAAATGGTGGCTTCTCCAGCTCTTGACACCTCCCAATGGAGACCAGATGCATTTCTGGGTCTGAGATGGTGGAAGGCAGATCCTGGGGCTGTGCCAGAGGGGACATGGGTAAAATCTTGCAGTTAGGTGTCAGCAGCAGCAACTTGCTCATCCTCAGGCTGGATCAGGCTCAGATTTTTCCCTGCTCCAGATCGGCTTTGCAATACTTGCCATCCCTCTCTGGATGAGAAAGCTTGCCATCGCCTGCTCTGGTCCACAGCTTACTGCTCCATCCCCAGTACCTGCTGCATGTCCTGCCTCCATGGAGTGGGGCCCAGTGCCATCCCATGGGGACCAGCCTGTCACTTTGCCTCTTGCTGCTCTCTGTGACCCCTCTCTCCACCATCTGTAGG